GTTTTTTTTTTTTTTTTTTCTTTTTCCCTCCCTTGTTGCAAATTCATGGTGTGGTTTTGGTGGGGTGGTGGAGAGCACATGTCATCTGTGGGTGGCTCGCTAAGAGCGGGGCCTGCTCCTCTACTCAAAGGTGACCACGTTAAATTCTGAGAAGGGAATTTGAGGGTGAATAGGTCACAGTGGCCTTAACTTTAACTTTTCCTTTCTGCTGTCTAGTCATCCTCATCGGTCTTCTGCTTCTTGATGTCAACATCATCATCCTCATCATTTTCAGCTACCTGCTTGCCCGTAGGAGCCTCACCTTCCTCATCTTCATCTCCATCCTCTTCCTCACCATTGCCTTCCTCCTCCTCCTCCTCCTCCTCCTCCTCTTCCTCCCCACCTTCTTCCTCTTCTTCATCTACCTCATTGTCAGCCTCCTGCTGCCGGTTTTCCTCATTAGCATTCCCATTGGCAGGTGCCCGTCTTCCATTCTCTGCCTCCTCCACAACTTCCTTCTCCTTCAAGTCCTTGGTGGTGATCTTGGAGCTGGTGTCCACCGCCACCTCTGACATGGTGGGGCACACCAATGCTCTGCAGCGAGGGAGGGAAGAAATCGAGCTCCAGTACTCTTGGGGAGAGAGCTGCTGGAGTCCGCCGCGGGAGAGGAGGCAGGCAGCAAAGGCGGATGCAGCAAGCTCAGAGCAGGAGTCTGGACCCGGGACCCAGGAGCAATGCAAAGATGGCTTTTCAGAGCAGCCAAATGGGCCAAAAATCATATTTCAATTGTGGGAGTTTCACAGATTTCTCTCAACCATCATCATTTCGTAAAGAAAGAATAGGAAAAGCAGAACATATTTGGGTATCAGATACTCTGTACAAACTGTCCTAGAGCATACATAGGGTACCCAGAGGAAAAAGCACATTTGAGTAGATCTCAGATTTATTTATGTGTGTTTGTTCTGAGACAAGGTTTCGTTATGTAGCCCAACCCCTCCTAGAACTCACTTTGTGACCCAAGTTGACCTTGAATTCACAGAGATTATGGTACCTGTGCCCCTCCAGTGCTGTGATTAAGGGCACATGTCATCATGCTGGCCCCTATTTGAGATTTTTAAGGACTACATCTTCAGGATGTATTTCTGATCACAACAAAATAAAGTTAGAGCTTAGTTAATTATTGAAACCTAATATATTTGTGCTTTAATGAAACTCTCTGAATAATTCAGAGTTAAAAATATTACAGTAATTACAAATACTAGAAAGCAATAATGGACATGTTGGCCAGCAAAATCTGTGTTTTACAGGTCAGATGCTACTTAATCCCCATGAAAATATGACCATTTAGACTGATATGTCAACTGGTGTTGTCATTGTGTAGGTCTTGCTTTGGAAGCTGTACTGTTGAGATTTCATGGTTATAACATCTTTGTCATTAGGTAAAACATAAAATCTTTCAGCAGACGTCCTGGTCCTCTGACTTTTAACACATCTTGAAGCTTTCTCCTTGCTGATGTTCTGCGACACTTAGGTGTTAGGTGTGGGGGTTGTGTTGTAGATTATCAACTGGACATTTTTTTTTTTTCGAGGCCATGTAGCAGATTTAGGTTTAATTTTCTGAGGATTTTTTCCAGAGTGGCTGTACTGATTTAAATTTCTGCCACCAGTGAATGAAAGGTCCTCTTTCCACTTCATCATCTTCCATCCATCTCACAAGGGCTTGGATTCCAGACATTTGTTATCTGTGCCCAGCCTCAAAGCATTTTTTTTAAAAATTAGAAACATTGTTTTATATTTCAATTCCAGTTCCCTCTCCCTCACCTCCTCCCTTACCACCCCCCCCCTAATTAAACCCTTCCTATGCCATACCCTTTCTGCTCCCCAGGGAGGGTGAGGCCTTCCATAGGGGGTCAGAAGTGTCTGTCATATCCTTTGGCATAGGGTCTAGGACCACCCCTGTGTGTCTTGGCTCAGGGAGTATCCCTCTATGTGGAATGGGCTCCCAAAGTCCATACCTTTGTTAGGGATAAATACTGATCTACTACGGGAGGCACCAAGAAATTCTGAGATTTCTTCACTGAAACCCATGTTCCATACTGGTATCCCAGCTATCAGTCTGGGGACCAAGAGCTCCCTGTTGTTCAGGTCAGCTGTTTCTGTGGCTTTCACCAGCCTGGTCTGTACCCCTTTGCTCGTCACTCCTCCTTCTCTGCAGCTGGATTCCAGTTCAGTTCAGTGATTAGTTGCGGGTGTCTGCTTCTACGTCCACCAGCTGATGGTGAAGGCTAAAAGAAGGAATAGATATTAGTCATCAATCTCATCATCAGTGGAGAGAATTTAAGGTAGCCTTTACTCTGTTTCTTAGATGTTAGTTGGTGTCATCTTTGTAGAACTCCAGACATTTCCCTAGTCTCTGATTTCTCTTTAAACCTAAAACATTCCCTCTATTACGGTATCTCCTTTCTTGTTTTCTTCTAATCTTCCCCTGACTCCACCTTTCTGCGCCCTCATGTCCTCCTCACCACTTCTCTTCTCCCATTCTCCTTCTCCTAGGTCCCTCCCCCCTCCATCCACGCTCCCAATTTGCTCAGGAGATCTTGTCACTTTCCCCTTTTCCAGGGGACCATGTATGTCTCTCCTAGGGATCTCCTTGTTTACTAGCTTCTCTGGAAGTGTGGATTGTAGGCTTGTAATCCTTTACTTTATGTCTAAAATCCACATACGAGTGAGTACATACCATGTTTGTCTTTTTGTGACTGGGTTACCTCGCTCAGAATGCTTTCTTCTAGTTCCATTCATTTGCCTGTGAATTTCAAGATTCCAATTTTTTTTTCTGCTGAGTAGTACTCCATTGTGTAAATGTACCACATTTTCTCTATCCATTCTTCTGATGAGGGGCATCTAGGATGTTTCCACATTCTGGCTATTACAAATAGTGCTGCTATGAACATCGGTGAACAGATGTCCTTTTTTGTATTAGTTTGCTACTTTTGGGTATATGCCTAAGAGTGGAATTGCTGGATCTTGTGGTAGATTCCCATTTTCCTGAGGAGTTGCCATACTGATTTCCAAACTGGCTGTACAAGTTGGCACTCCCACCAGCAGTGGAGGACTGACCCTCTTTCTCCAGACCCTCTCCAGCATAAACTGTCATTGGTGTTTTTGATTTTAGCCATTCTGACAAGAGTAAGATGGTAATCTCAGAGTTGTTTTGATTTGCATTTCCCTGATGGCTAAGGATGTTGAACACTTTCTTATGTGTCTTTCAGCCATTTTAGATTCCTCTATTGAGAATTTTCTATTTAGTTCTGTACCCCACTTTTTAATTGGATTGTTTGGTGTTTTGGAGACTAGCTTCTTGAGTTCTTTGTATATTTTGGAGATCAGCCCTCTGTCAGATGTGGGGTTGATGAATATCTTTTCCTATTCTGTGGGCTACCGTTTTGTCTTGCTGACAGTGTCCTTTGCCTTACAGAATCTTCTCAGTTTCAGGGGGTCCCATTTATCAGTTGTTGATCTCAGTGTCTGTGCTACTGGTGTAATGTTCAGGAAGCAGTCTCCTGTACCAATTAATTCAATAGCATTGCCTACTTTCTCTTTTAATATATTCAGTGTGGCTGGATTTATGTTGAGGTCTTTGATCCATTTAGACTTAAGTTTTGTGCATGGAGATAGGCATGGATCTATCTAGAGTCTTCTACATGCCAGCATCCATTTAGGCCAGCACCATTTGTCGTAGACACATTCTTTATTCTATTGTATAAATTTAACTTCTTTGCCAGATATCAGGTGTTCCTAGGTGTATGGGTTAATATTGGGATTTTCAACTCTATTCCATTGGTCTACCTGTCTATTTTTGTGTCAATGCCAAGATGTTTTCAGGACTATAGCTCTGTAATAGACCTTGAAGTCAGGAATGTTTATGCCCCTAGAAGTTCTTTTATTGTATAGGGTTGTTTTTGCTATCCTGGGTTTTTTGTTTTTCCATATAAAGTCAAGAATTGTTTTTTCAAGATTTCTGAAGAACTGTGTTGGGATTTTGATGGGGATTGCATTGAATCTATATATTGCTTTTGGCAAGATTGCCATTTTTTCTATGTTTATCCTACCTATCCAAGAGCATGGGAAATCTTTCCATTTTCTGGTATCTTCTTTAATTTATTTGTCTAGAGAGCCAAAATTCTTATGGTACAGGTCTTTCACTTTTTTGGTTAGCATTACCCCAAGGTTTTTTATATTGTTTATGGCAAATGTAAAGAGTGATGTTTCTCTGATTTCTTTATCCACAAATATATCATCTGTATATATTAGGGCTACAGATTTTGTTGAGTTAATCTTGCATCCTGCCACTTTGCTGAAGGAATTTATCAGCTGTAGGAGTTCCCTGATAGTTTTTCTGGTAACTTATGTAGACTATCATATCATCTGCAAATAGTGAAAGTTTGACTTCTTGCTTTCTGATTTGTATCCCCTTGATCTCCTTTTGTTTATTTATTGCTCTAGCTATAACTTCAAGGACAATGTTGAAGAGGTATGGAGAAAGTCTACAGCCTTGTCTTGTTCCCGATTTTAGAGGAATTTCATTGATTTTCTCTCCATTTAATTTGATGTTGGCTTTCGGCTTGCTTTATATTGCTTTTATTATGATAAGTTATGTTCCTGTTATCCCTGATCTCTCCAAGATCTTTATCATGAAGGGGTGTTTTGTCAGAGGTTTTTTCTGCATCTAGTGAGATGATCATGTGTTTTTTTTTTTTTTTTTTCCTCAGTCTGTTTATATTGGATTACATTGATAGATTTTCTTTTTTTTTTTTCTTTTTCTTTTTTTGGTTTTTCAAGACAGGGTTTCTCTGTACAGCTTTGGAGCCTATCCTGGCACTCTCTCTGGAGACCAGGCTGGCCTTGAACTTACAGAGATCTATCTGCCTCTGCCTCCCGAGTGCTGGGATTAAAGGAGTGTGCCACCAACGCCCGGCTAACATTGATGGATTTTCGTATGTTGAACCATCGTTGCATCCCTGGGATGAAGCCTACTTGATCATGGTGGATGATTTCTCTGATGAGTTCTTGGATTCGATTTGCCAGTATTTTATTGATAATTTTTGCATGAATGTTCATGAGGGATATTGGTCTGTAGTTCTCTTTCTTAATTGTGTCTTTGTGTGGCTTGGGTATCAAGGTTATTGTAGCCTGGTAAAAAGAGACAGGCAATGACCCTTCTGCTTCTATTGTGTGGAATACTTTGAGGAGAATTGGTATTATCTATTCATTGAATTTCTGGTAGAATTCTGCACTGAAGTCTTCTGGCCCTGGGCTTTTATGTTGAGAGATTTTGATGACTGCTTCTATTTAATTAGGGATTTTACATCTATTAAATTTGCTTACCTCTTCTTGATTTAATTTTGGTAGTGAAATCTATCCAGAAAATTGTCCATTTCCTTTAGTTTTTCTAATTTTGAGGAATACAGGTTTTCAAAGTATGACCTGATGATTCTCTGGATTTCTTCTGTGTCTGTTGTTATGTCCCCCTTTTCATTCCTGATTTTATTAATTTGCATGTTCACTCTCTGCTGTT